CGAAGTACAGACTTGCGACGGGCTGGAGTTTTGAGACTCTATGACCGCGGGTTCAATCCCGGCCGGGGGTATGGTTTGCGAGGCAAATACACTACCCTTCATTCCCAGAGACTTGTCTCGTAGTGAATTGTACCGAGCATATCTCCTGAGGCTTTTATCAGCCGAATAACTACTGCAGCTAATACCTGTTAAATTTAAGACCAGCTTTCAGAAACCCAAGTAAGGGGTCATTCACTACACTATATACGGCATATGACAGACCAACATTGAAGTACGTAGCACCACTGGAGAACCCACACCTGGTCAAGCATATCAAGAACTTCTACAAAGGGCAGAGATTTGCAACGAAACTAGTCCCAGGGGCATGTCTTATAAATTTAAAGAAGCTAAACCTGATGTCATTAGAGGAAAGAAGGACTATGGGGGATATAATCACAACGTGCAAAATAATGAGAGAAACTGAAAGGAATACAATGTTCAAGAGATGAAAAACAAACCCGAGGACACAAAGTTGATAACACAAACGAGCCACAGGGATGTAAGGAGGTATTTCTGCAGTCTTAGAGTAGTCAGGAAGTGGAACGATCTAGACAGTCGAGTGGTAGGGGCAGGATCCATACATAATTTAATACGAAGTTCAATAAAGCTCTTGAATTCAGAGGTAGTGAACCTAATAGCGGCCAGCAAAGAGGCGGGGCCAGGAGCTGAGACAACATTTGCAACCGCTTATAGCTGTGTGTATATAAATGAATTCACAAATACAGGTATACAAGTGACAGGCCTTGACCTTTGTAATATCATTACACACACACACACACACACACACACACACACACACACACACACACACACACACACACACACACACACACACACACACACACAGAAAAGGAGAGAGAACAACAGAGAAGAAATGCAGATTCGCAGGCAACAGAAAGAAGAGCTGCGGATGTATCAACAGGTGTGAAAGCTCTACCTGCAAAGGAGCTGCATGCACAACCCCTTATAGACCCCCTGCCCCTACCTGCACTCAGAGTCTTCACCCCCCTCTCAGTGCAAGTCCTCACCCCCTCTCAGTGCAAGTCCTCACCCCCTCTCAGTGCAAGTCCTCGCCCACTCTCAGTGCAAGTCCTCAGCCCCCTCTCAGTGCAAGTCCTCACCCCCTCTCAGTGCAAGTATTCACCCCCTCTCAGTGCAAGTCCTCACCCCCTCTCAGTGCAAGTCCTCACCCCCTCTCAGTGCAAGCATTCACCCCCTCTCAGTGCAATTCCTCACCCCCTCTCAGTGCAAGTCCTCACCCACTCTCAGTGCAAGTCCTCACCCACTCTCAGTGCAAGTCCTCACCCACTCTCAGTGCAAGTCTTCACCCCTTCTCAGTGCAAGTCCTCACCCCCTCTCAGTGCAAGTCCTCACCCCCTCTCAGTGCAAGTCCTCACCCCCTCTCAGTGCAAGTCCTCACCCCCTCTCAGTGCAAGTCCTCACCCCCTCTCAGTGCAAGTCCTTCCCACCCACCCTCTCAGTGCAAGTCCTCACCCCCTCTCAGTGCAAGTACTCACCCCCTCTCAGTGCAAGTCCTCACCCCCTCTCAGGCAAGTCCTCACCCCCTCTCAGTGCAAAGTCTCACCCCCTCTCAGTGCAACTCCTCACCCCCTCTCAGTGCAAGTCCTCACCCCTCTCAGTGCAAGTCCTCACCCCTCTCATGCAAGTCTCGCCCCTCTCAGTGCAAGTCCTCACCCCCTCTCAGTGCAAGTCCTCACCCCCTCTCAGTGCAAGTCCTCACCCCCTCTCAGTGCAAGTATTCACCCCCTCTCAGTGCAACTCCTCACCCCCTCTCAGTGCAAGTCCTCACCCCCTCTCAGTGCAAGTCTCACCCCTCTCAGTGCAAGTCCTCGCCCCTCTCAGTGCAAGTCCTCACCCACTCTCAGTGCAAGTCCTCACCCCCTCTCAGTGCAAGTCCTCACCCCTCTCAGTGCAAGTCTCACCCCCTCTCAGTGCAATCCTCACCCCCTCTCAGTGCAAGTCCTCACCCCTCTCAGTGCAATTTCACCCCTCTCAGTGCAATCCTCGCCCCTCTCAGTGCAAGTCCTCACCCCTCTCAGTGCAAGTTCTCACCCCTCTCAGTGCAAGTCCTCACCCCTCTCAGTGCAAGTCCTCACCCACTCTCAGTGCAAGTCTCACCCCCTCTCAGTGCAAGTCCTCACCCCCTCCCCAGTGCAAGTCATTCACCCACTCTCAGTGCAAGTCCTCACCCCTCCAGTGCAAGTCCTCACCCCCTCTCAGTGCAAGTCCTCACCCCTCTCAGTGCAAGTCCTCACCCCTCTCAGTGCAAGTCCTCACCCCCTCTCAGTGCAAGTCCTCACCCCCTCTCAGTGCAGGTCCTTCACCCCCTTCTCAGTGCAAGTCCTCACCCCCTCTCAAGTCGCAAGTCCTCACCCCCTCTCAGTGCAATCCTCACCCCCTCTCAGTGCAAGTCCTCACCCCTCTCAGTGCAAGTCCTCACCCCTCCAGTGCAAGTCCTCACCCACTCTCAGTGCAAGTCCTCACCCACTCTCAGTGCAAGTCCTCACCCACTCTCAGTGCAAGTCCTCACCCACTCTCAGTGCAAGTCCTCACCCACTCCCAGTGCAAGTCCTC